AGTTCACTAACAGTACTGCAGCTCCACCAGAAGCAGCAGCAGTAATAATCCCCAGCTCTTACATTGTGCTTTTCACCTGTAGTGTGGATGGGCCTGAAGTGGCTGCATGAGCTTTACCCCTGTGTCACCTAGGTCTGCCCTGAGCAGGGTTTGGCGACATGGTGATACAAATGCTGGTGACTTCTCTACACTCGTTCTCCCACCTCCCTGGCTACCACCTGTGGAGATGCACCAGCGCTCGTGTAAGGCTCCAGCGTGTGCAGTGCACTGCCTATCAGTAGATCTCGTAGCAGGTCAGTACCATTATCCCCATTTTAGAGCTGGGGAAACTGAGGCACTGGGAGGCAAAGTGACTTGCCCACAGTCACCCTGCAGGACAGTAGCAGAGCCAGCAATAGAACCCATTTCTCCTGAGTTCCGGTCCATTGCTCTATCCACTAGCCCACACTGCCTCTCCATGTCATTGGCCCATCACCCTCCTGACTCTGGCCTTTCACTACTCTATATTTTGCAACTGAAGTCAAAGCCGTCAGACTTGTAGCCTGGAGACCAGGGTACCTTCTGTGCAGATCAGAGAGGAAAAGTGGCCCTGTGGGCCCAGTCCTTAAATCCTTACTTCTGTAAAACTCCCCAGGAAGTCCATGAATATGTTGTTGGAGTGATGCCTTTGGTCTTTTCTGGCTGCCCTGGCTTCACGAGAAGCAACAGGATGTCTCAGAATGACCAGTAGGTGTCAGCATTGATTTTCATTTTCCCTATGATGTTTTTAAAGCCAAAAGCTAATGTTATAGAACAACCACAGGACAGAGCTCAAATGTAACCGAGGCTCTGCAGTGGAGAGAGATAAAGTCTGGATCTCTGAGTCGCTGGCCTGAGCCAACGGATAATAATGACTAACCACCCTCTGGCTCTTCCTGCATCAGTCCCCCACACTGCAGAACCATTGACATTTAAGGGCAACATTTCCTGGAACTCCTCAGGCTTGTGTTTCATTGATGCTTCTCCTGGGGGCCGTCCATCTGCGAAGCCTGGCTCATCTTCCAGCCAGGCCTGTTTCATGGGAAAGGATACTGTCGAGCAGAGCACTGAATTGTTTTCATTTGTCATCTGCTTTCCCTCTCCGCAGTTCCTTGTGCTTTGAATGAAGCCGAAAAGAATCTGTTTGCTTTTCTTTAGCAGCAGCTTCACCATATGGGGCATGAGCCATCCAAAGGCTGCCCCCTCGGGCAGCAGTCCTGTCAGACTTCGCAAGGGATTCAGCATCAGGCCTTGTCATTTCCTGGCTAGGAAGCCTCCAAAGAAAACCCAGGGTTTGGCAGGAAGTGGTTGTAGTGAGTCAGTGAGCAGGGCTCTTCCCTGCGATTCAGTCAGCCCTGAATCACTGGCCCTGTGTGCTGGAGATGGTGTCTTTTGTCTGAGACATAAAACACAGGCCCCCATCACTGCTCATTGAAGAGAAAATGGTTTGGTTTTTGTTCGGTTTTTTACACAAGAGTAAAAGTGCTGAGCACAGTGTCCTTATCCAAATCCCTATTTCTTTAGGTAACTGCATTTTTGCTTCTCTAAAATTCCCCTGGCAGTGTCAACAGTGCTATACTATTCTCAAAAAGAAAAGGAGGACTTGTGGCACCTTAGAGACTAACCAATTTATTTGAGCATAAGCTTTCGTGAGCTACAGCTCACTTCATCGGAAGCTTATGCTCAAATAAATTGGTTAGTCTCTAAGGTGCCACAAGAACTCCTTTTCTTTTTGCGAATACAGACTGACACGGCTGCTACTCTGAAACCTGACTATTCTCAAGTATTTGTATCAAGGAAGCACCAAGAAGCCCCGACTGCGAGAGGGTCCTGTTGCACTAGGCACTGCAGAGACACATCGTGAGAGACAGTCCCTACGCCAGAGAGTTTATAGTCTTACAGCTCTGATCCAACAGTGCATGGGTGGGCTTGCGGCAGACAGACAGAGTAGCATTGATGTCAGTTTCAAAGTTGGGAGTGGGGGGGGAAGGAATCTAAAAACCCCCAAACAAACCAAATCTCAATAGCATGTCCCCCTTGGCTCCCCACATTTTTCTTCCGCTCTAATTCTGGTCCTATGAGGCGCTGAGCATCCTCCACTTCCATCAGAGTCAAAGGGAATGGAGAGACCTGCAGCTGGCAGGATCAAAACCAAGAGGCCTGATCCAGCAAAACCACCTGGTGCCATCTCAGTGGCCGTACCCCTCACTGTGGGCGTTTGCAGGATCGGACCCCACATTCCTCACTTTCAAAATGTAACCCAGTCTCTCGGGTTGAACGGCTGGGGCTGCAGCAGAGCAAGCCAGCCAACAGGAAGGGAATGTGGGTGACAAGCTGCTGCCATCTGGATCTGAGTCCACTAACCACCAGCTTTGCACACCCTGCCAGTTTCCCTGAGCTGTAAACAGGAGTGATGGAGCCTGCAGTGCAATGGGAAAACACACCAAAATCAGCTCCACTGGGGCAGGACTTCTTTAGAGCTCCCCAAGAGCTGCCTTGGAGGCCTGGACAGCACAGCACTCCTCAGAGGGGACATGGGCCCGTAATAACATTGCACATGGACTGGAAATACATAGCGCCAGGACCAAGTTGTCAGAGGCAGATTAAGGTTTCCTGGGGCCCTAAGCCACAGCAAGTGCCCCCCATTCCACATGCAGCCCCATCCCTGTTCCACCCCTTCCGCCCGCAGCCCACCTCTTTCTGCCCCTTCCCCGGGGGTGAGGCCAGCTCCTGTTCCACTGAGGGTCCCCCACATTCTACCCCCCCCCGCAGACCCCCCCAACCCCCTCTAGTGGTCAGGTCACTACAAGAGGTTTATGAGTAGGCCTGGAAGGATTAGGTTTTTATTGGTAAATGTTGATAAATGTCAATTTCAAAGTGTGCCCAGTGAAAAGATATTTCCATCTATAATAATTGAAATTTACAGATAGGCAAAGTAAGAAAAATGAGAACCTTGAGAACCTATTAGAGTTTGATTTAAGGATGTTAACTTTGTATATTTTGCCATGTGATGTTGACAATTTGTGTTGTAGTTGTTATAAAGTTTTAACTTTTTTAATCTCAACATCTACTCTCATTAAATAATTATTGTCTAACCTCCTCCCCACATCATTTCGTGCAACTGTGAAAATTTAAATGGATACAAATAAAAAAACTATGAAAAATTATATCGATAAAAATTGGGGGGAAATGCTTAAAAATAAACATCAATATCTATCACAATTATTTTAAAAATGAATTCTGCCAAGCCTGTTTATGAGTCTAGTACTGTCATCAAGCTAACACAGCTGGTCCGTTAACTCAAGCATGAGAAGCTTTCAGATCCAGACATTTCAAACAGGGGCATCAGTGCAGTTTTAGAGGAGTCTATAGCTGAACCAGGTGTTTAGCGCAGCTATTAATGGGGAAACACGTGCACATAAATAAGGTGTATTTATGTACCTCTACGTACTTAAGTAGCATTCTTCACTGTAGTGTCTCTCACTCATTAATGGATTTTATCTTCACATCTGTACAATGCAGAAAAATATTATCCCCTTTGTAGAGATGGGGAAACCAAGGCACAGGTTAGTTTAAGTGATTTGCCCATGGTTTCACAGGAAGTGAATGGCTGAGCCACAAATGGTACCTGGATCTTCTGAGCCCCAGTCCTGCGCCCTATCCACTAGATCATCGATCCTCTCATAGACCAGCATGAACATGGAGAGCTATACATCGCAAATAAAGACAGGCTGCTGACCTGCTAGGGAGCAGAAAACTTTCTAACAGTCTGCAAAAGCCTTTTCTACACCAGGTTTCTTTGCTCCAGATTTCCCTTTGTTAGCCTCAGTGGTTCAACTCCCCTGGAGGTACCAGCAGTTCCAGCACGAATATAGACAAGGCACTGGCAACAGCCAGCATTTTGACCACTGTGTTATGTAATAATGAGAATACCTACCTCTTATACCGCACTCTTCATCAATAGATCTCTGAGTGCTTTACAAAGCATCATTGCCATTTTATAGATGGGGAAACTGAGGCACAGAGCAATACAGAGACATGCCCTAGGTCACCCAGAAAGCCAGTGGCAGAACTAGGAAGAGACCCCAGGTCGCTTGAGGCCCCAGGGTCAGATAGGGATGTCACCCATCTGGTTTTAACATGGACAGTCTTCTTTTTGGGTAGCTTGTCCCCACCCAGTACTCAGATAAAAGTGGACATGGTGTTGTCCGGTATCGGATGGGGGACACCATTTGAAAGAGCACACTGCTCTGCCGCCCCCACTAGCGTAACTTTGCATGCACTGTGTGTGTGTGAGGTCATGCCACGGGGGAGGGGGTGTCATGCTGGCTGGGGAGGACCCATGTCATTCCTGGAACGTCCGGGAATGCGAGAGTGGCCACCCTAGGCTTAGAGGACTTGGTGCTTTAACTCCCGATAGACACCAGGAATCTTATCTATGGGGAAGCTCGCAGCTATTCCACTCCCAGTGTCTCCCAGCAAGAGTCACTGCAGGTAACGGAGCCGGAGCACTAGCTGTGGGGCTAATATAAACCTGACCTTTTCTCAACAGCACCTTTACTGTGCAAGGAAACAGCTGGAAGACCCTGCACGCTATCTATACACTGGAAATACCTCTCCGAGCAGCACGTCCTTTTATTTTTGGACCTTTGTTTAAAAGTCCCGTACCAAAAAAACAACCTGAAGTTCTCCTTGCAAGCCCCTTATAAAGGAAGCTGCATCTCCCCCCAGGAGTTGGGCTCTCACTGCAGAGCATTGCTCACCAGGCTGCCTGCAGGCCCTCTGCTGCTTTTTCCGTCAGCATTTCATCTATATAAGGCAGAATCATCTCTTTCCCTGGAGCCCTCTTTTCCCCCCTCCACTCTTGTTCTCATATCCCAAACTCCAGCGTCCCACAGCTGGGCTGCTGCCACAGGCTCGCAGCATTCTTTTGCCTTGTATGGCCAAATCCTTGGGGGTGGGTGGGAACAATTTAGGTAAGCTCCATTCTCCATTGGCTGCCTTTCCCATATGACCCAGCTCCTTCCAGCCAGGGAGATTAAAACAGCTAGTTAATTTCTTCTATTTGCAGGAGTCAGAAACGCCTTTGGGATCTCTGGGTTTTTAACTGTTTCTGACACAGGTAAGAGCTTTTTCCATTGATTCACTTTCCATGTGGTGTGGTTTCCTGGGGGCAGCTAAGGTGTGTCACGGATTAAATCAGAGGGTGCGGGAAGATTCCCAGAAAACTGAGCGCTTACATTTTCCGGTCTCAAGTTAAAAGCTTCCAGCAGTTTTAGGGATGAACGCAAGTTAGTGGACCAAGACCAGAGCTCTGTAGCATCAGAACCTCTCAGGGAAAGAAGTGGGATCCAGTCAAGAACACCCTCTTTGCTGAAATAGACTCTGATATCCTGAAATGGGTTGTGCGAGTACTTGTCCTCCATCACAGGAAGGGGTATTTTGGCAGAGGGTTCCTGGTGCTTTTAGCATTTCACTGCAGAAAAGGAAAGAAAGTTGGAGTCAGATAAGAAGGCTGCCCACTGTGCTGTCAGAAGTTACATGGGAGGAAATGCATCTGTGCCGTGGCTAATTGTTTATCAGTCTAGGGAGCAAATACACATGCATGGAAGGAAATAAACCCAACCTATGTCTGAGTTCTTATACAGCTGGCATGGTCTGGGACGTGGGCAACACCCTGGAGCAGAGCCCTCAGCAGGGGATGGGAACTTGAGGAGTACAGACACTTTGCTGGTTGTCTTCTCACAATGCCAGTTGCCTGGTAGAGAGATTCACATTCTATGCAGTCCTGTCTGAGCCTGCATGAGAAGGGAAGGAAACCTCCAGATCTGTATTCCAGCTGCTTAACCTCTTACCTTTCCTCAGGCAAGATGTTGAAGCAAGGTGTGCTTTGCGGGGCAGGTGTATGGTCTTGGGTGCTGCCATGGCGGGGTGTTTGCCTACCAACACCTGTTACGGCAGCAAAGAACCCTGGCAGGCGTCCCCAGGGAGCGAGAACAGGCGGGCGAACCCACGCAGCACCGTCACCGCTGGGATGTGACAGGAGGGAGACAGTGACAGTAACAGGAGGAGCTCTCCACTCTCACAGCAGGGCCCTTACCCTGCAGAGCACTTGGCTCCCCCAGACAGTCCCACTGACATCAGTGGCACTGTGTTTGGGAGTAACTACTTGCCAGAGTAAGTAAAGGCTGCGCAGCCTGGCCCCGTAGCCGTAACAGAGATGAGATGAGCAGATAGAGCATTGATGACAGAGCAGGACACAGCCGTGGCTACTGAACCGCTGACACGCGGCCTTGGCAGGCGTTGACTGTGCTCTCTCTTGGGGACCATGGAGCGCTCTATTAGTCAGGGGGGCTTCTCCCGGGAAGCGTCAATCTCATATAAGCAAAACCGGGCCTGGAATCAGAGCTGTTGTGAGCACATTGCAATGCACTGAAACAAGCTGGGCTTTTCCGTCTGCTTCCCTGCTCTGAGCTTGCTGTCGGGGCCTGCCTCTGGGTTTCTTGGGCAAGATTCATTTTTGTCTGGAATGTTGTTTTCTCCCATGTCCTTCTGCAGATGGCACAAGACAAGATCCTGGCAAACATGTATACTGCCCTCTCTCAGGTGATCCCCTAGTGATCTTAGAGATCTCCTTAGTGCTCTATTGAGTGATCTGATGTTAGTGGCGGATTAGCCACTGGGGCAACGGGGCCTTGCCCAGGGGCCCCAGGCATTTGGGGGCCCCTGGAAAAATGGGTGCCCCTGCACCCCGACCCCACTCCCCAGCTGGAGCGCCTGACAGGCGGAGCAGGGCAAGCCCCCAGGCCCTGATTCCATTTCCCCAGCAGGAGCATGCTGGGGGGGGGGGAGGGAGGGAGGGGGAATGACTGCAGGAGCAAGGGGTGGGGAGGGGCCCTAGCTTGCTCTGGCCCAGGGGCCCCACAAAACCCTAGTCCACCCCTGCCTGAAGCAATAAATTCTCTTGCGTAAGAAAAACTTCATTTACCTCCCTTTTGCTCTCTCAACCCTAAAGCCTGATCTACACCTAAAACTTCAGACAATCTAGCTAAGCTGCTTAGGGCTCTGAAAAACATTGCACGCTGAGCAGTGAAGTTAGGTCGACCCAATGTCCTGTGTAGGCACAGGTAGGTCACTGGAAGGATTTTTCCATCAGCTTAGCTACCCCTCCTCGAGGAGGTGGATTTACTGCAGCGACGGGAAAAACCCCTTCGCTCCACGGCAAGTGTCTCGCGGCGTTGCTGCAGCTATGCTGCTGGAGTGCTTGTAGCGTCCACCACGCCTGGGGTAACTTTTCTCCTGTTCAAACAATGCCCCTCAGAACCCGAGATCAGGCGGCTTCCTAGTCCCAGGTGCTTTCCACCATCGGGCCCCTTGCAGAGTGTCTGTATTTGCGGAATGTTAGAGGGGTGTTAAAATAGCGTTGAGAAGGCTCTGTAACATGTAACCCTGGGAGGAAGAGGAGGCAGGGATAGCGTTGGCCAGTGTGCGGTGCCTGTATGAGACAGCTCCAGGAGTGAACAGTCACTGGTTACCAAAGATGGCTGTGTTTCCTTGGGCATTTAAATTCTTTACCCATTGCTGTTGGCATTTTCTGTCGCCAGTGGGAGGAGCTAAATATCTCACTGTGCTCCCAAATCAGTGCTTAATCTGTACCAGGGCTCTGGGCCTGGCCGGTCACAGCCCCGGCACCTCTGGGCCTGGCCGGTCACAGCCCCGGCACCTCTGGGCCTGGCCGGTCACAGCCCCGGCACCTCTGGGCCTGGCCGGTCACAGCCCCGACACCTCTGGGCCTGGCCGGTCACAGCCCCAGCACCTCTGGGCTTGCCGCATCAGTTATGAAAGTAAAAAAGGTTGCTTGAGCCCCGGCACCTCTTTCATTATAAATTAAGCACCGTTCCAAATCAGCCCTCTCTCTCATTTGCCTGGGCCAGGTTCCCCTCCCTGGGCGTAGCCCAGTATTTCTTCAAGGAGGGAATAAAAATCCAAGTTCAGGATCTTCTGCATGGCAAGGACAAGGTCAACAGAAGCCCCTCCCTTAAAACCCAGGGCAAACCGTTTGCCCTCCAGAGCTTTAAAAGGAACATATAAAAGATTATTTCAGACTGTTCGGAGAGTGGCCAATAGCACACACCCATCCCCCTGCTCCCAGGTACTACACCCAGACCCTCATGAGGTGGGCACAGAAATCCAGCTTTGGTTCTTGGCTCCCAAAGGTCTTGCCCAGGAGCTGGCTGCATGAGCGCACAGAAAAGGTAGTTGGGGCCCTTTCCTTCTTTATTCAAAAAGAATTGACCGTAGCGCAGATGCCTCCTGCTCAGCTGGCGCTGCGACTGTAGGGGCTGTTCCTTATGAAACAGGCACAGGAAAAGCCCAGACTGGTCTATTTTGTGCTCAGCTGGAATCCGATTGTGGCATCCCACACAAGGATCGTAGAAGGCGAAGGGTCCCAATAGGCTTTCGTACAGCAAGGATCCCCAAGGGAGGGGGGTGGCAAGGGCAGTGGCGTTCCTGGTGAAAAGAAAAGGAGTACTTGTGGCACCTTAGAGACTAACCAATTTATTTGAGCATGAGCTTTCGTGAGCTACAGCTCACTTCATCGGATGCATACTGTGGAACTGTTCCTGGTGAGGAGTTCCTGTTGATTTCTGGGGTGGCTTCTATCAGGTGACACTCCCTGCAGCAAGGATGATCGGGCCCTCTGAAGACACCGTTTGTGTGGATTATGAAAGAGCCACAGTCACGCTCTGGCAAGCTTTGACTGGTGTATTATTTTATCAGCAACCCCATTAATCTGCCCTGAGTTTCCTTCCCCGAGTGGGGCTGGCAGCCTGCAAGCTGGGGTTAGCGGTATTTTGTACCTTTAAAGTGCTGCCTACACAGTAGTAATTTCTCTAACATCACCCCGTTTTACTGAGCCACAGAGAGGGGTCACATCCTGACCTGGGGCTACACAACGAGCTGGGATTAGGTTTTTGGGGTCCAGCTGCTCAATCCTGCACTCATCCCATGCATCCACACAGCCTGCTTTGAACGCCTTCATCTTCCTACCCTGCCTCCTCCTGATTCTCACTGCATAGTTAGCCTGGGCTCTTACCTTGGTGTTGCCCCTAACCCTCTTCTCTCCACACACAAAACCCTCTTACCCAAGTTCGATGGTGCTTTCAACCTGAGCTAGCTGGCCCGGCGGGGGGTGAGTTAGAGCCTGGGTCCTGCTTTCGCTCAGAGCTGGTAACCCGCCTGCTTTGCAGTGTGGATGCAGGCTAAATCGTTGGAGGGCTGGGTGTGCTCCTGTGCCTTCCCACAATTCCCTGTGTGCCCAGAGGACAGACAGGATCTCCCACAGTTCGCTGGGAAAGTGTCAGAGAATGGCTCAGCTCACTGCAGCACAAAGAAATGTGGGAGAGGCCCCCAGAAGCCCTGGCTGACACACACACGGGAGCACAGCACCAGTGAGGACACAGTCGCTCCAGACGGACTTTGCAGTGTGGCTGCTCACACCCAGGCCAGGCTAGCCCTGGTGCCAATCACCCAGTGAAGACACTCTCTCAGCAACGCCACGTTGCTGTGGCTGATGTCACAGTCGTTTGCCACAGTGAGGGCAGATTGTGGCATCAGTAGCTGGGGAAGGAGAGGAAACGGCTGGTTTTAAAAAAAAAAAAAAAAAAGGCAGGGAATGAGGGGGGATCATCTTGGTGCCCAAATACCGTCCTAGTTGGGTCTGTGAGAGGTGTCTCACTGGAGCAGTCAGCAAAGCATGATGGGAAAAGAAGCACATCTCATGTGCCCCAGCAGGTCACACCTGGTCCCCACTGCCGATATCTGAAGTTTCAAAGGACAACAGGAATCCCCCACCATGCAGCTTTGGGGATAGTGCTCCCTGCCACCGTGCAACTCAGTGCCCTGCAGCATGACATCTGGTGACCCCTCTGTTACCTGAAGTTACTTGTCATTACGCTTTACAACCCTGTTAGAGTGGGTGGCTCAGACCTAGGGCAGCAATGGGGCTTGCTCACTACGGCCGATCTGACAAAATACTGCTTGGTCCTGGTTTTGAACATTCTGGCCACAAACTTCATTGATCTGCTGAGAGTTTGACTGGGTTTTAGTAAGAGACCGGAT